GAGAGAGAGAGAGAGAGAGAGGGATGACGTTGGGGGCAGACGGGCTATGCATGGGCTCCGGGGGGGTGGAGCACAGTCAATGGGTCGACCTCTTTGAGAAGAAGAGGTGATGGTTATGCACAAAGAACAAGTGATATAATGCGAGGAACTGGTACATGCTGGTGCCTTTGGCGATCCTGGGTGCTGGTATGAATGTGGTATTTACTGGTGTGCCTGGTCTCTTGTTTCGGAATCCGGTCTTGCAGAGACGACTAGAGTTTGGTCAGCAACAACATTGAGCGGGACGGTTGGTTCGGAGACTATGAAGCCGGGCGTCGTCGGCAGTGGTCGCTTCGGCGCCGGCCTCAATCCATTGCCAGGGAACAAATATTACCAGTCAGCAGGGACTGGTGATGCGGGTTTATCGTCCCAGCTTGGAATGAATGGTCTATCTTATTCAGAAGCTTATGCAGAAAATCTACAGAAAATCCAAGCGGAGAACAGGCGCATGCAGTTGGAGGCTCTGAGTCGTCTTCAAGCCGAGAGAGAGAGTTTGGCGGCGAGGTATCCTTTGGATGCGACGTTAGGAGGGCTAGGAGGTGGACGCTACTCTGCGGCAGAGGTCGCTGCGCTTGCTCGCTATCAGGGAGCCGATGGATTGTCTCGTCTGCATTCGGCCGACGGCTTAGGGCGCCTATCGTCCGAAACCCTAGCCCGATATTCGGCGGCGGCGGGCGATTCTCTTTCTTCTCGGCTATCTGCTGAAGCTCGTCTCTCAGAGTTCTCTCGACTTCAAGCAGCAGAAGCCTTGAATCGCATCCCCGCCGACGGTCTCGGTCGGAGGCTGTCCTCAGAGGGACTTGGCGGCCGCCTGCCTCCTTCTCTTAACGGTTCTGTTCCTGGAAGTGGTCTTGGGGGGTACCTGGGAGCGCAGGAGGATGCCGCCGCGGCTTATGGAGCCTCTTTCTCGCTGGCGGAAAGACGGGCCGCTGCTGCGGGTGATCTACCGGGCTCACAGTTCTTGAACTCCAAGGCTGGGCTGCTCGATGCGCACAAAGCTGCAGTGACTGGCGGATACCCTGGGGCTGGGGGAGTTTCAGGAGGGTTATCGTCAATGGGCGGACTGCTAGGGGGACGGCCTCAAGTGATGGGCTATGGAGGCGGCGGGTATCCGACGCTCGAGGCGGCGAAAGCCGCAATGGGGGCGGAGATGAATCTTGGGGGCGCAGGGTCAGCAGCCGCTCTTGCCCGTCGGGGTATGGCGGCTGCAATGGGCCCCCCACCTTTCCCCGGAACTGCAGGCCCAAACTCTGGCGCGCTAGCGCGGTCTGGCCCGCCCAAAACGGAGAGCGTGAATCGGGACCCCAATTCCTTGCCGGGGATGATTTTTGGCTGCAACAACCGGACAAAGGAGGAATGCTTCCGTAGAGCCCTATTCGGGCTTCCGGCGTCCAACGTGGCAACCGTGGAGAAGATAGCCCCGGGAACTAAGCTCTTCCTTTTCAACTTCGGTACCAAGGAGCTTTACGGCATCTTCGAGGCCACTTGTAGGGGTGCAATGAACATCGAACCGGATGCCTTTGCGACTTCAGGATTCTTCCCTGCTCAGGTGAGCCTCTCTTTCGGTCGGTATAAGCGGCGCTATCTAGGTAAGGCACCTGGCAACTAATCCATTCAGTCGATCAACCAATCCATCGACCGGCCAATTAATCAACCAACGAGCTAAGAATATATTAGTTTGCTCCTGCCGATTAACCAGTCTTTTAGTCGACCAATTAATCAACCAACAACCTAAGTGGCCCCAGCAATAGATCAATCGATCGACCGATCGATCAACCGGACAAGCATTCAGCAAGTCGGTGTATTATTCATTTGTTTTTTGCGATGCTAGTCTTTTCACGACAATGTTTGCTTCCTACCCCCCCGCCCAGAAAATTGTCTCCCCTACACACTCTTTTTGCTCGTTTTGTTAACTTGGTCCGTCTTTCGCTCATCCCTATCGATACGCAACGCTCTTTTGCAGGCCGTAGCTGTTCGAGCTGAGTTTCCTCTCTCTTGTTGTGCTTTGCACGTCGTCCTTATCTTTGCTCCTTCCACTCTTTTCCTTTTTGTTTTTTCTTCCATGTACTTCTTTTCTTTTCTTTCCTTTCTCTCCCTTTGCTTCCTCTGTCTTCTTTTTTCCGTTCTTCGCTTTTTTTCTGTTTTCGTTTCTCTTTTTCTTCTTTTTCTTCTCTTTCGTCTTGTCTTCCTGTTTTTCTTCTGTTTCGTCTGACAGTCATTCTGTCACGCATCCGTTCTTTTCTCGTCTGCTCGCCGTTGTACCTCGGTCGCATTTTCTGTTGAAGTTCGTCCACGTAGTTGTATTTTGCCGTGTTTGGCCCTCTTAACGGTTTTGATCAGACAAAGAAAGAATGAACGATGAAAGAAAGGAGCCCCCGCCGTTGGTAATGACCACGACGTATGTCTTTCGCGTTGGAGCCGTTGCATTCCTTGCTTTGCCTCTCGAACGTGTATTCCTGTCACGTTCACTCTTCCGGCTGAAACACTCTCCGTTTCATTCGTAACCCCCGTGATAAAGTCTCTTCTCGCCTATCGTGCTTCTTCGAGGGATCGCAAGGTCATCTCACCGAGAGCGCCCGTATTCTGCATGCAAAGAGTTCTTTCGGCTTTCCTCTCTTCCTCTCTCCCTCTCTCCCTCTCTCTCGATCCTCTGTGTCTAGCAGCACGTTTTTTGAGTCCGTGAATTCCCTCTTTAGGTGCTCACCGTATTCTGCAAAGAGTTCTTTCTTCTTTGCTCTCTTTCTCTTGCTCGCTCCTCTGTGTCTAGGAGCAGGTGTCTTGAGTCTTTGAATTCTCGTCCTGCTCCTCGGACTTTATTTCTCCGTTCTTCTGTTTCTTCTGCTATCACCATGAACAGCTGTGTCCTTGCCCTTACGTATCACGAGAGGTACGCTTGTTGCCGTTACGGTGTTACAAGTGGTCACTGGGGATTGGGGCCATGCACCGTTCTTCTGTTTTCTTCTGCTGTCACTATGAACAGCTGTGTGTTTTTGCCTCTTAGGTATCACAAGAGGTACGTTTGCGGGAGTTATGGTGTCACACGTGGTCACAGTGGATTGGGTCCATGCACAGCGTGTCGATGGTTGGCCGTCGGTATCAAACTTTCGTTGCTTGCAGACATTGCCGAATGTTACTATCTGTTACTCGATCTCTGTGTTTTCTGCATTCATCAGTTCCTTGATCTCTCTCTCTCTCTCTGTGCTCCGACCTGCGGGTCCTCCCCTGGCCTCCTCCCGCTCACTCCCCGGCTCTGTTGCATGTTCTTTCACATATCGCCCGGTTGTTAGCCGTTGAGCGTCTGTCCGTTATCTCATGCGCGAAAATTGCGATAAATTCTGTAGGGCTATCACTACGCCGTTGAGAGTAGTCGGTACGAGGTTGAAGCCCACTGTCGGGCCATGCCCGCACGACCTTACCAAGTGTGATGTGATGGGTCGTGCATGTCACAACCACTTCCCAAGTGAGACCTGCACTGCTGTCGCTACTAATGTGATGTCACACACCGCCAGATGTCGCGGGCCAGGCGACCGTGTCTCGGTGGGCAGGGGGGGAATTGCACTGTGTCATAACGTATCGAATATCTTGGGCCAGAGGTTGGATACGGCAGTGAGAAACTCTCTCGTCGTCGATGGATTTCCCTCTGTGCTTTCCCTCTTTGCTTTCTCGTTGTGATGCCCATTGTTGTTAAGAGCGCACATAGCCTGTTTTGTGCCACGTGCGCTTTCGGCCGTCCTCTCTGTCCGAAGCGGACTGGTCCTTGAGTGCTTGCTTCTCTGTACGATCTCCCTGACTGCTCGCGGTCTATCGTTTTTTTTTTCCTGTTTGCAAGGCTGCTTGAGCGCGGCTAAGGATTCCGTTATGCTAGTACCGAAAGCTAACTAACTACCGCACTCCTCAAATAACGGATGATATTGACAGTGAGAATCCACGTTACCCCCCGTCCCCCCCCCCTCTCCCTTGCTGTTGTACAAATCGACTTCCCAACAACTGATACCCTGAGGTGGGCACCAACCACTGCCCTCAGGGTACTTGTGACAAACATGTAAAAACAATCTGCGCCGGTCCTATACAGTGTTGATGAGGTGCGTTGAGTTGGGGAAGAAGATTAGCTCTCGACTTTTCGCTCTCTGATTGTATGGACGGTCTGCGTCACCCGAGTGGCAGGTTGTTATCATTGGTTCTCGCTCCCGACAGGTGGCGGCGCAGCCGTGGCCTTCGTGGTTCGTTTTTTTCTTCTCCCCCCCCCACCACCCCACCCACCCAAAAAAAAAACTATCTTCTTTCCACAGTGCCTTGTATGGTGTTCCTGCGAGGTTGTTACTTGCTGCCTTGTCTGAGCTGTCCTGCTCATCTCCGACTTCATCCTGAACTCCACCATTTTACCATTTCACCATTTCTCGTCTGCCAGACGACCATTACTCTTCCACGTCTACGTTTTTTCAATGGTCTGCTGTACCAGTGGGGGTCACGTGCTGATTGGAGCGGAGTGTGTGAGAACTGCCGCATCCGTGTGGCGCTGTGTGCTGTGTGTGAGTTGGGCAGTGCAGCCTTGCAGGGGCGGTGTGGGTTAGTTCCACTTTTGAACACCGTGTCCTGGCAGAGTGGCGAATAGACTTGGCTCTTGTGGCCAAGGAGGCCGGTTCGTGTGAGGCCCAGATGTACGGATCCATAACTGCTGCTGTGCGCAGGCTTTATTCGATCTTGAGCGGTCTCAAGCTGTGAAATTTTCTTTGTTATTTATTCACCTAACTCATTTTTATCCATTGGCCGTTCTGGGACGACGTAGTTGTCCTATACGAAGTCTCCTTGCCGATCCACGCGCCAACCCCTTGGCTACTCCCGTGTGACGTCATAAACTGATGCAGCATTTCTGTAGAACGACTGTAGATCGAAGTGCCATTTTTTTGGTGCGTGTCATCCGTGCCAAGTGACCGTGGTAATCTTCTCTATATCGTTCCGATTTTAAGGGATGTCCCGAAGGACAAACACTGTTTTGACGCAATGCGCGCGGATGGTTGCCGTGTGCGCTCTTTCAGTCTTACGTGATACTCGTTTGTGGAGAGATGATGTCCTGGCCTTCATGAGTTTGGAGGTTGGGTATCTCTCTCTCTCTCTCGCTCTCTCTACCCCCACCTCGCATTCTCGGTCTGCACGCTGCATGCTTCCCGTTGTTCGGCCTGTGTGAGGGGGCGGTGCTTTCGTGTGGGAATCGTCATCTGGGATTGTCTTTTATGTTTTTTGTCCCAGTAAGAATGGTTTACAAATGGGAATACCCACGTCTTGATGACCAACAAGGCCTTCTGCTTGCTGTATATAGATATGTAATCTGGGATTTTTCTGTTTTTGCAGACAAGAGTTTTGTCCTGGGTGGTCCTGTCCTGTCGTTTGGCCTGTGAAGGAGGGGCGGTGCTTGCATGTGGGACTTGTCATCTAGGATCTGTTTTTGGTGCTATTGCTTGTTGCCCCCTTGCCGATGTTGACTGAGCTTCAGTGTACCGTATCCTGAACATCATTGGTGTTGTCGCATATGCAGGTTTTTTCGCTGCCCAGCAACGCCCCCATGGCCATCCGTGTCTCTCTTCCTCCTCTCAGGCCTCCCCCCTTGCACTTCCCCCTTCTCCCCAAACGGCATTCAGGAAGTATATACGAGTGATTTTCCCTTTGCTGCATCTAAAATTTGCTCCTACTCGACAACGTTTTCTGAATCCATCACGACCCGAACCCACGATCTGTAGTTCAATAATTTGTGTACAAGTTGTCCACGTGGGCTGGTTGTCGTTGTAGCATTCCGGTCAAGTAATTGAGATGTTGTGGAAGCCGTCCTTTGATCTGATTCGTGGAAGTCAAGTCGTATGCTGAGCATGCCTGCACGAACGCATTTGTTTTTCCTGCCGAGGGGTTATGGACCGATGCCTCAGAAAAATCCGTGCGGGCAATAACCTATTCTCAGAACCGGTGCCCACGATGATCTATCTCCTCTAGTCATACCCCTGTTTATTGTCGATCGGGATTCTGTTATGTGACCTTGTTGAGCGCATTGCTGTTGGCAAAGCGTTTTTGCTAATTGATCTTGCCTTTTTCTGTCTACTCAACGCGAAGATGTCATGTTCGAAATAATCCGTCAGTTCCAAGACGACATCTCAAGGCTGTCGGCCTTGTTATCTCTCCAAAAGAGGAGGAAGATAAAATGGGAAGGAAGAAGGGGAAAAAAGCGAAGATTGTTCATCTGTAGAGCGACAGAGAGCGAGATGTGACAGGCTGTAGTTGGTGGTTGTCGTCCTCAGGGTTTTGCTCGTCGCGGTCTCGTTGTGTCAGATCGATCCGCTCGTTATCAGCCCGACTCTAGGAAATTGCGAACCGTTAAAAAAATTAAAAAAAAAATTGCGAACCTTGTGCCCACTTGTGAAGATGGAAGGGGGCGTAATCCGGTTGTTTTACTTACCGCCTCCCGTTGTAAGCCAGGTCTCGCGTAACCCTCCCACCCTCCCACGAGGCCCGGCTGCCAGTGTTGGGAAAACGTCATTCCCTGTTGGGCCCTCGGCGTTGTGTGGGCCGCACTGGCTGGCGCGGTCACAAATATCCAGGCTTACGTTCGAATACAAGAACATAGCTGCAGACTCTGAGTTTTGTTGTTTTTCCTTTGTTTCCTTTTTTCCGCATCTTCTGGCCCCACGTGCAGTTGGTTGGTGGGCTGTTTTGTTTCGTGCTTGGAGAACGAATCCTCTCCGTCGGCGCTGTTTCCATCCGCGTCGGCGCTTTGTTCATAGCAGCCCTTTTCAGCGTGTTCGTTATGTGACGCCACAAGGCATCCGTCCGCTTGCGGACAAGATCGAGGCCCTCCGCGTATGGCCCGAGCCCACCAACACCGCGGACGGTCGTTCATACATGGGGTTGGCGGGCTACTATCAGCAATTCATCGCCGGATACTTAAGGATTGCTGCACCTATGACGAGATTACAATCGCCAAACGTGCCATTCATATTCGATGACGACGCACGCCGGTCATTCCAAGCACTTAAGACGGCCATGCTCATGGCACCCGTCCTTAGCATATATGACCCCACCCTGCCTACGAGAGTGACAACTGACGCTTCCGGCTATGTCATTGGGGCAGCCGGCGCGCCACTCATGTTTGAATACAAAATCATAGCTGCGCGTTTTAGTGTGTTCGGATTCAATGCACAAAAGACAGAAGATATGGATGCTTACCTGTTCTCTCTCCCTCTCTCTGTGTCTCTGTCGCTCTCTCTCACACGAAAAAGAAAAAGAAAAGTTGTAGTGTATATTTCCATGTTCTAGCGGGAGATTCATTCCGATTTTGCTTATCCTATCGATGGAAGTAGCCCCACTCTATCTCTCTGTGCGCATGGCTGGACAGCAGTGTCTATGTCCATATTCTAGTGGAAGATTCATTCCGATTTTGCTCATCCTATTGATGGAAGTAGCCTCTCTCTCTATTTCTCTGCGTGCATGGCTGGAAAATCCTCTCTGTGTCTCTCTCTCACACACACCCGAGTGTAGTAGTGCATATTTGCATGCTCTAGCGTAAGATTCATTCGATTTTGCTCTGCCTATCGATGGAAAATTCTTCTCTCTCTTTCACCCACACACACACGTGTGGCAGTGTATATTTCCATGTTCTAGCGGTAGATTCATCCGATTCTGCTCATCCTGTCGATGGAAGTAGCCCTACGCACAGTGTGGCAGTGTATATTTCCATGTTCTGGCTGAAGATTCATTCCGAGTTCTGGCTGAAGGAAAAAGTGTGGCAGTGTATATTTCCATGTTCTGGCTGAAGATTCATTCCGAGTTTGCTCATCCTACACACACGCACAGACCGACATTGCCAGTCTTCACCAAATGAGCAAAATGGGATTGAGTCTTCCCCTAGAACATGGAAGTATATAATGCCACAACATGGAAATATACACTGCCAAAGAACGAAAATGTGGCAATGTATATTTCCATGTTCTAGCGACAGATGCATTCCCATTTTGCTTGTCCTATGGATGGAAAACTCTCTCGCTCTCTCTCGCGACGACATTTGCATCTGACGGCTCCTTAGTCCATACTCACACCGGGATTTCTTTTCAATGAAAAGTCTCTCTTTCTTGCGGTGACATTTGCATCTTACAGTTCCTTAGTCCAAAATCACACCGGGATTTCTTTTCAATGTATCTGTCTGCCGCGGTGTCAGGCTGCGCACATGAAAAAAAAAGCGGCAGTGTATATTTCCATGTTCGGACTGAAGATTCATTCCGATTTTGCACATCCCACACCCACACACACAGACGGCCACGCTTCCTTGTTTTCTTAAAGGTTGTCTTGGGTCTAATGCTGGCAACATTATTTGTCGGAGGGAAGCATGACCTGTTCAGACTTCGTTCGTATGGAGAATGGTTGCGTGTATGATGTGGATTTGACTCCGGGTTGGTTCCTTGTCAGTCGGTAGACAGGGTGCCGCCTTTGTAATTTCTGAAGCGCTATGCAGTCTGAATGCCTGTAATTGCAAGTAATTTTGACGTAATCCAACGGGTTGTGTGGTATCAGCATCTGGCTTGTACTTGGCCTGCATTTCATTTTTTGTTCCTTAGCTTGTCTGAGATGGTGCCATGGCTCTAAATGCCTGTGAAATTTGTTGTGCGTTGCTGGCATTGAAAACATGGCACCAGTCGTTCACAGAAAGAACTGGTTTGGAGACCGTGTATGCTGGACCCTGCAAGGTGCTGTTCTGGGGACACAAGCTTGTGCTAGGGAGTTTATTATATGACTCTGCTCAAGTTTTGTCCCGAAAGATGAGAAATGAAACAAAGGACCAACCCCAGATATTAAAAAAAGAAAAAAAAGAAGAAAGAATCCCGGACATCTGGACAGACTACGGATAATTTGGTCCTCAGTTTCCCCATGCTGGAGACCAGTCTGGAACAAACAGAAAGGGAAAATGCTGAAATTTTAGCTTATGAAATGGGGAGAAGATCGTAGTCGAAACTCTGTTTAGCTAAGGAAATGCATATCCGAAGTTGAGGAAAGGATGCAACAGAAACAATGAGCATCGTACTACTGTTTTCTTTTCTCACCCGCTTCTCTGCACCGGCTGTGGATGTGGGCATGCTGTTTTGACGCCCTCGATTCGGGTCTCTGCACAGGGCTGAATCTTTTCAAGGTCTCCGGCCTGTTGTCTTTTTATTATTTTGGTATGTTCTGACTCTGAATTTGCCTCCTGCTCTGAATTCTAATCACCAGGGTGGTATTTTATACCCTGAGACAATATACGTGTGATGGAACTGCGACCTTGTTCTGTGTGTCGGATGGCAGGTAAGGTGGTTGTTCAAGGCCATCTCCGTGCTTTCTCAGGTGCCTTCGTTTTATTGGTGGCTGTGTTGTATAGATGACGGGCAAATAGGGCTGACTTCTTATTGTGTATTATGTTCCGTATGAATAGGTCCGGGCCAGACTAGTGGAGGCTTGCGTGGCCCTTCACGAGAGCGAGTTTAAGCCTGCCATCCAGGAGAACTACTTCTCTGACAAGAAATTTAATTACATCCTCAATGAAAAGCAGGTAAGTTTCCAAACGGAAAAATGCACAGCCTTTGGAGTCGGTGGCTCTGCACTTGGAGCACGAGTGATTGTGTGTCATGTGCGTCTGTCAATATAATACGCTCAAAGCAGAAGTGAGTGATTGTGTGTCATGTGCATCTGTCAGTTAAATACGCTCAAAGCAGAAGTGAGGCGGCGGGGATTGGAGCTGTTCCATGCCGCCGCTTGGGTTCAGTTTGATGCGAGTTTGCTTCGGGTTAGTTTGGCTGGGACTTACCTTAGACCGGAACGGGTGGGATAATAGCAGAATAAGAGAAAAGAATAGCAAGCGGAAGTGTACTGAGTCATATGCTCTTTCCCTCGACCAGAGAGAAGAAATGTACTCTAAACGAACTCCTATTGTAACACATGTGGTCTCCATCACGAGGGGAACGATTTGGGGAAGCGGGCTGGGACGTCTTGTCGAATCTAAGGGTTGCGTGGTGGGCGGGCATGTTCAGTGTTGAGTGAAGTCGTTTTGTGCCTCCCTGTTGCAGTATACTTCGCACGTACATCGGCTAGGGAAATTCGGTGGAGTGGGTGAGTGGGTTCGGCAGTTGGGGGGGGGGGGGGGGGGGGGGGGTTGATCCGCCATAGTGGAAGTGTGTTTGGAGGGGTTTCGATGGTGCTTTGCATGGAACTGCACAGAGTGCAAGAGCGCTTCGGCAGATTGGTATGTGGGCAGTTCTCGACTCAACCACACATACACAGGAAACCTTGCACCTAAAGCAGAAGTAAGATACAATGCACCACTTTTCTCCTTTTTTCTATTGCTGTATCCTGCTCTTGTTGCCCTTGTTATTGCCGCAGTATTCTATTCCCCTGCTAATTCCTTTGTCGCTGTATTCTGCTCTTGTTCAGCAGTATTCTCGCAGCAGTGTCCCAACTTCATCGCCTGCTGTTTTGCCTCTTGTCCAGTCTCACCATGGCTTGCGGCCAATCACTTATTTTGCAAATTTGCGGCAAATGAGGGGTGCAGCAGAAATCCACCGCGGGGAAGAGAGGCTTGTAGGTACTGGTGGTCAAACTGCCACTACCTTTCACGTATGTCGGACGTGCCGCCGATGACCATATCAACGGCAGCCGCCCATTGGGCCCTTTCCCAAGGCCCCCAAGGAATGCGGTTTAGGTTATATTCCCAATGGGACAGCAGCCTTAAAGGTAGTGGTGGTTTAAGAATACTCAAGTGTGCACACATAGTACCCCCGTTCTTTTATGCTGTGTAGTACCCCCATTCTTTGATGCTGCGTAGTACCCCCGTTCTTTGATGCCGTGTGGTACCCCCATTCTTTCATGCCGTGTAGTACCCCTGTTCTTTGATGCCGTGTAGTACCCCCGTTCGTTGATGCCGTTGAATCCTCTCAAGGAGGCTTAGAAAGTGTGTGGTGTTAGTGAGATCCCCATGGGCTGTCTGTTCTAGAGCACATGGTTTGCATGGTATGAGGGTGCTTTAAGCAGTGGTGCTTGTGGTGTTACGCTCGGGTTTTGTGGTACTGGCCTACCTTCTGAACCCGAAAATAATGCGTAGATGTTATGTATGAATATAATGCCCGCCGGTCGGTTGAGGTAGCAACTTTGTGAGGCCCCAAAATTGAAAAAACAAAAAAAACAAGAAATGCTGCGTGTTGGTTGAGGTACCCAATTTGCTGAGGCCCCAAAATCGAAAAAACAAAAAATATCAAGAATCCTTAAAAAAATGTATGTTGTGTAGGATTGCAACCGGGAATATTTCCTTTTTCTGCACAAGAAAAACTCAGCTCATTTTATTACCACACGAAAGGAGGCCTGGAATCCCTCCACAAACAACCGGGAAACGAAGTACTAGGACCATTACCCAGCTTAGGAGCAGGCGTTGGGAATTATAGTCTTGTAACAGAATGGTCAATTCGGGACCGCTGCCCTGACATTTCCCAACCCTTGGCACAAAATTCACCGTGAGGTTAAAACTTAGTGAAAAGCCAAACAAATTAAAAGTTTTCAAAAGGAAGCAAAAACTTCCTACTCCACTTTAAAGTTTAAACCTGCTGCAAGCCAAAAAAAATGGTCTTCCTACATCGATCTGGTATATATATTTCTTCGACCATTCATCTCGACCGCGACCACCCTAAGGCCACCTACAACGGAAGATGTAATGCAAAAGCCCTGCCAAACCGGCACAACCAAAATATGATCTAGATCCAATCGTGTACGTCAATCCAGTATCTATCTTTCTTTGACCAGTCAGTCTTCTTGACCTCGACCACCCGAAGGCCACCCACAACGGAAGACATAATTCAAAACAAAATGAAGAGTCACATGTTAGAATCATTTTGTGGACAGTGCTGCGTCCTCCCCCCCCGTCCCCCCCCCCCTCTTTCTCCCTCTCACACACACATTGTCACACTCATTCACACGCACACACACACACACCGACACACATTGCTCTAGCACATGCATCTTTCCCTCTCTCCTCTGCTCCCTGTCTCTTTTGTTCCTCTCCTCCCTCCCCAATGCGGGTGCTATTTTCCCTGTAGCGCATGTGCCATCACGGACAAGCGTCTCTCTCTCTCTCCCTCCCTGCCTCTCCCTAAAAATTAAAAGAAACGAAATGATCCCGTCCACATGTTCAATGTAGGTCCCTCGTGCTCTGCGGGTCCACGTGTACAATTAGCATGTCACCTGCGGGGATGACATGCATCAATCGTGCTGTCCCTCATGCTCTTCTTCTCAAACCATCAGTACCTTTTGCAGGTGTAGTCCCAGTCGGGAAAATGACCTCAACCGAAAAGTTCGGGGGTCCCAGCGAGGGTTGGCGAAAAGAAAATGTTTCGTTTTGTGGGATAAAGGAAACATTTGGGGGCTCGATTGGGAAAAAGAAAAGAAAAGAAAAATAACTGCAGAGTTGGAAGGAAGGACTTCTCGAAAAAGCCACGAAGGAGGTGTGCTCACAGCAGTTCTTCCAGGAATGCATCTGCCCAGAATCATGAGAGAGATAAATGTCTAGAAATTTGTAATTAGTGGATGGAAAAAAAAGGAATCATGGCTAGTTTTGTTGTGTTTTTTTTGTTATTTTGTGTTTTTTATTTTTTTCTTTTAATTTAGCTTCAGTGCCCTGCCAGCGAGGCAGGATGCTTTCCATGGAAAGCTGACAATTGCAACCCAGGGGGCACTCTCGTGCAAGGAATATGAGCGAGAGCGATAGACAGAAATCTAAGATGCAAAGTAACGAAGTAGTCCAGATAGTCATGTACCAAGCACAGAGTACAATGCGCCATACTGCAATTGGACTCACTTTCTTTTCCACTTTGCATACATGCATACAGGTGGTGATTCACACTGGCGCAGTGCGCCCACTCAAAGCTCAAAGATATGGGAAAACGAGAACACAGTTCAGATGAGCGCTTCAGCGCCTGCACACTCAACTCTCGTCACTGTGTCCAACACCACCCTTTGCACATACTCAACTCTGGATCATCCTGAATACCACCACACACACACACTGAACCTATCTTCTTCCTATTGCGGCTATGGCCGCTCTACCACTACTGGTCTACGATCTCGCTCTTTAGCAGGCAACCAGCAGGCCACCTTCGCACAAGACGTTGTAGCAGCGCTTCCGCATGGCTTACACACGAATGAATGAATTGCTGGGCGTTACTCTTGATTTATGCTTCTGTTTGCTGCTGGTCTGCCCTTTTTCACCAGGCCCTTGGTGCACTCAGTCCCAGTCGGTACTCGCTTGACTGGACTGCGACTGACTGGTACTGGTACCGCTGACTGCACGAGGTTGTACTGCCGACTTGACGCAGTCGCACTGCCGACTCAGTGCGGTTGGGCTTACCACTCGCCCACTTGCCTCTGGCTAAACGTGAGACAATTTCGAAAGACCACTTCTGGACCTTCCGGAAGTCTGTGGACTAGGCCTTTCGAGTACTGTAGCAGCTACGACCTTTACCTTTCAGGACTGTAGCAGCTATGACCTTGGCCTCTCAGAAAATGGCTAAACGTGAGACAAATTTGAAAGGCCACTTCGGAACCTTCCGGAAGTCTGTGGACTTGGCCTTTCGAGTACTGTAGCAGCTACGACCTTGACCTTTTGGGACTGTAGCAGGTAAGACCTTGGCCTCTCAGAAAACCTACAGCTACGGCCTCTACAGAGCTGTGACCCCTACTCGACAGACCTACAGGTCGAACCCCTACAACTTCACAGACCTACAACAGACAACAACCAACTATCAAAACACAGGTCACGGGTTTAAAAACTCGGGGGTCAACTCGATACTGTACATGGGCAAGGTAAGGTCTGGGGATCGAACTCTAGGGCCCGCATCTGTGACTGCAGAAAGGTGAAAACCGTTTCAATACTATCCAAATATGAGCAATACAATGAACTCGAGTGCCAATGCTCTCTGGTCACACCAACACTGTATCCAATGTCTCTGCTCACTGTCCCAGACAGTGTCCAAATACTGTCTGGTACCCAGTGCCCAGCCTGAGCTACACAGCCTATCTATCCTATCTACGTTCATGCGACTGGATCACATCGAAGTTGAAGACCGATGTATGTGACGTCATCACCAATGCCTACTGCCAGCATACAGAAGGACGTTCTCTCTCCTTCCCTCATCATACTCTCTCCCCTCTGCATGTGCCAACTACCTGAAGACCACCATCACCATCACCTGCAGCCTGGCCATGGCCGCTGTGCGACCAGTGCCTCAGCAGAGCCTCTCTCAACTCAGCTCCAGTGCACGCGTCTGGCCCACAGCGCTAATGCAGCTGCACTTGTGGGAGTGCAGCAGCGTGGCCGCAATGCTCACCAAGGCCAGAATGCCCTCCTCTGGGGCACACAGTTTCCTTTATGGAAAGTGTGGCCGCTGCTGGCTGGCTTGGCCAGGTGTGTGGGGGCCCAGTAGCTTCAGTCTGGGCTCAACGGTCTGCGCCCAGGCCCAGTTTCAGATGCTGGCCTGGGCCTTGTGCAGTTAGGCACATTCAGGCAGGTGT